ATGGGGGACTGTGAGATGTAGCAGTATCCATGAGAAGTCAAAAAATAAAGAAACATCTAGAAAGGGGCGCATTAAAACCAACTCTAGAAATCTGAAACATATTTTAGATTTCCTACGGAACCTTCCAAGCCGTCAGTGAGGTTTTTACCCACGCCTCATATCTTTCCTGAATCCTTTGGATGCCCAAGGAGGTTACTTAAGAATTAGAGTATTTAAGTTTTACATCATTTCAATGGATAATTCCCACCTCGAGTGACCTTCCAATTTATGAATTTTTTAGTATTATTGTCATCTTGTAAGATTCTAGTTTACATAAATCTAGTCGTCTATATTTATTAACCAGGTAATCGATAATCGATTGACGTTCGACTTAGACCTTCCAGTCTTCCTAGGTCTTTATAGCGGTATTAAACTCGTTTGGGATGTAAAAGCACTGACTTTTCCACCGGTTGGTTATCGCATGTCATTGCACTTGTACCCTTTCGAATCGCCACTACGAATCTCAGTGGGTGTCTAACGAATGGTAGCATCCCAGAAATGAGATAGATTTGCCAAAAAACGTTGTCCTTTACCCTCGGTTACCGAAATTTTCAGCTGTGATCATACTCTTTATATTTTTACGTCCCCATATATAATCGTTCCTTCTTATTCTCACTGTTCCCGCGGAACGTATATGCTTTTCCTTCGATCACCAATGTTCTGCATCGTATGCTATCGACTTGTCAAACATCTTGTCCAAGTCTAGTGGAAAGCTGTTATGAAAATCTTGGAGGATGGCTTCTCTTAGCTAATTCCTCCGGTATCCTTCAGGCCAGACCCTTTATTCTTTCCTGTAGGATTAGAAGACGTCAAGATTGAATTGGACTAATATTGGAGAGTTTCTTCTTCTGGTACTAGTGGGCGCTTTAATTAAAATGTGAGGACGACAAAGAGAAACTAACGTAACTGTGGCTAGAATCACCTCCCAACAAAAAGGAATGAAATCTTAGCACCACAGTAACATACATAGCTGACGCTGTTCTAAAATGCTTCCCAGGGCACTACATCCTACCATGAGGAAAATGACAAACAGGAAAGTGAACAACTGAGCTGACTGACTTTTAACTGACATCTTTCTTTCTTCAATTAGCTCCCCTTTTCGTAATTTGTTCCTCGGCCATCTTTGTAGGTTTACTGTGTAAAGTCTTCTGAAGATAATAGCAGCAATGGGACCACAGCTCTAGATCTCACCAAACTTTATAGTACAACGCCCCTTTCCCTTATTTTAAGTCAACCACGTCAAGGTCTGCCTTATGGCTATTAAAGACCGTGTCACCGTCAGCTAACTTTTTGCTGTGGGATCTCTTGCTGAGTTTGCCTGTTCTTCTGCTTCTCTGTTGGCCTGTCTGTCAAAGGTCCTACGAGCTCAAACGGGAAAATTGCCGTTTTTCCGTTAATCATGCCAGCTAAAAGCCTACGAGCCATCCGCCTTTCGCTCAGCTTCAAGAGGCACTCAACCCAACGCTCGCGCTCACGCCATTACAATGACGTCTGAACTTGAAAAGCGTCATTATCGTCGGGTTTAATTGAATCATAATATATATCCCAGTCCTATGTCGGGCAAGGCATTTTCCAAAAATATCCTTGTCCGGAGATCCTTCGTTGATGATTCTCCTTGATGTTTAAAGGCACAGTTCACGATAATTTTGGGGCTGACGATTTCCAGATTATGACGAAAAATGAAAAAGAAGGTGGAGAATAGAGCACGAGAATCGGTGTCTCGGAATAGATAAAAGGCCTCAAAGAAGTCGTTAAAAGAGGGGCTGGACAGGAATAAAACCCAAAAATGACGTGGAAGGGGTGTTTGGACGAGCTATACAATATGTGTCGTTGCGTACAGCTGACTACAGTAAGTAGAGACGTTCATTCAATACATCCAAATTCACTAGCATAAGTTAAAGAAACACGATTAACAGCAAGAATATCTCACCTTTTACATCCTCATAAGGTAGAAAACTATCATGGAAAAATGACCGCAGTAGCAAAAAGAATAACAGAGAATAACAGAGTAGGAATAAAACTCTCCTCACCACCTGGCTATCAGCTGATTGCATGCTGAAAGTGTGGGTCCTGATGCGAATAGCGCAATCTGTATCGCCTGGGCACTGCCATATGATCGGTAGAGGGTCGGACATCGACGAATCTGGGTATTGGGGCTCATATCATGCCCCCTCTATTAAGTTTTCGTTCCGGCAGCTTTCTTTTTGGAACCGTTGTGGATATTCCCAGGAGGAAATCGTACGAACCATCTTTATCCTGAATCGTGCCTTCAAATACATATTGACGAGCTTATCTTATTTACAGCAGAGGATTCTTCATAAAAATACTTTTTGTGTTTTTTTTTTTGAAAATCAATTTATAATTATCACACGAGCGAGAACCAAGAAGTGTGCTTTTCTTGAGTTGACTTTAACTTGGTAAGTTCACACCAATTCGATAGAATTACCTACCACTCGTCATCGACTCCATGACAACACTGCGTCATCCAGCCGGAAGGCGGGCTCAATGGTGGAAGTTCCACGTCGAATATGCTGCTCCTGTCGACAAAAATATCACCCACGCTCGGTTAACTTCTTTTCAACCCAGATAATTCAGTTCTCTAAGTGCCAGATTCAAACCTGAAGGTAGGCATTGATTGGTAACTACTCACGTGGGGGAAATGTCTTCATAAACTTGCTATCGCCATTTTTATGAACGCCTCATGAGGGACGGCTTTTAGACTCGCAGCCCTATCCATGTTCGGCTAATTACCCTCATACTCAATATTGATCGAGGGCTTAGAGGAGCAAAGATGTGCGGCTTCAATTCATTTATGCAAAATTTCATTTGATTCGCTCCTCGGTGATGGCCATAAAGTGCTCTAAACGGCCCATTTTATTGTGATTTTTAGCCTTTGCTCCTTACTGCGGGAATTTATGCTATATATGTTCTTTCTGTGCCGTAATAAACGCCTCTAAATGAGCCATAACTGAACCGAGTGGGATTTAGTTACTGAAAAATGCTCAGAAATGAATGCCGTAATGAGTATCAAAGACAGTAACTTCGTGAAAAGCCCTTCAAACTAATTACTGCCCCCTCCCCCTCCACCTGTTGTAGAATCGATTAAGGCACTATGGGTGGTAGTTGTGACTGTTCTGTTCCCAGAAGTCTTTGTTTTTGTTTTGCATATTCTTTTTTGCATTTCGAAGGTTCGCTGGCTAATGGTTTTCTCACTGTTCCTTAGCTGTGGTTCTATCTTCGAAATAGCTGCAAATATCTGTGGGGTTTCACNTCTTTCAGTGCTTCAATTGGTCCTTTTGCAGTAATCTGAACTTGTAACCTGGGAGTTTCTACTATTCAGAGGTTCTGCTCATTGCCTACATCTTCGTCTTTAATTATACAAGCATATTCCCCACTTGATGATGTGGTACCCAATGTGTGCTTTCGTAAATGTATGCATACATATGTTTGGTTGCTACTTAGCCCTTTGAAAATAAAATCCCAGTAAGAATTGCTAGAGAGCAAAAAGTAGGCCGGACTCAGCCTTGGGCGATGGCGATTCGTGGCCGCGATAGGGACTCATTGAAACAAGTAAACAAACAACTGTGCGATTAATTGTGCGTGAAATTGAGCCGTTAGGACGAATGGCAAGCCAGCGTGCTATACATTCCAGTGGTTCGGTGTTAGAATCGTTTGGAACCACAACAGTTTATACTGAATTATTTTTGTTAAAGGACAAAAATATGTAAGCCCAAGAAGTAGCCTACAGCCTGTCATAAAGGTAACTTGGGAGTTGCGTAGAATTTTATATATGTTTCCCCTTGGTTTAAGCAGTACTAATCGAGAACATGCACTTAAGGGGAAAGGAGAAGACTGTAAGACCTTTTCTAGTACATACTTTGAAATAGCGTGTGACATAACCTGCTCTTGGTCAGCCGAAGACAGCCGTTGCTGTTCATAGCTTTCAAGTTCCATGGCGATGCTGCCTATATGGTAGGGTACTCCTTCACTTCGAATTTCCAACGTTTTGTTTATTGAAATGGTTACATTATCCTTTGCTGTCGAGAGTAGGTACCAAATACGTAGTGGGAAAAATCGGCTTGCTTGATCAGAAGCTGGAGGCAGATTCTCGTAATACTTTCATATTCCTTCAGTACTTTGCCTCTGGTTACTAGATTCCAATTAAAATTTCCATCTAATCTATCAAATATATACATGTGAACGAAGCTGAAGTAGCATTTTTGGTTCTCGACTCTCACATAGAGTTGTATTGAATTACACAAGTTTGAAGCATCAAGAAAGCTTGAATGGGTTTCATCGTTAACCCGCGTTGGGATGCCACCTCTACCCCTCTTTCACTCCCTAGAAATTAATTCATCAGTTAATTTATCACATATCAATCGACCTTCCTAGTTGGGAAGTACTCTATGGCTTCAGACGTTAAATGTAATGGAGGCATAGGGGTAGAGAGTCAATCAATGGCGGATAACACAGAGAAAACATTTCTGATAGATTAAGATGAACCACACAAGATATAAGGAATGCTCTTCTACCCCCAAGAATTAAGTTTGTGACGAATTGCAAGAACTTTCGTCAAGCTGGAGAACGTTTTTGACGAACCTGATATATTTGTAATCATTTCCCTAGCAGAACGCTGCTGCCAGTCCCACATTTCGCAATTCTGCGAACAGCAAAAGTAAATGTGTAAATCTTAGATGTTAATAGTTGGGTGTGCTACGGGCCCAATCGAATGTTGGAGTCTTTGTTCCTTTGGTCCTCAACAATCTAAGCAGCTTCTAGGGGTTTGGGCAGCGTGCAATTACATATGTTGCGATAATTGGCCACCCGTGCACTTTAAGTGTGATTTCCAGCTGTTAATGGGCAACGAGTGGCTGCTGAGTTCTCAGCGAATTGAACGAGTTATTGATCATCACAAATGAGTTTTTCGAAGTTGTCTGTCGCGTGGTTTTCCTAATTGCCTTCTATTTAAAGATTTCTGATGAGTCGTGGACAACACCAAAGCTGATGTCATGCTTATGCTTCAGCTGCTTCTTTCCGCTCTCTGAATCGTTGATGAGGCTGAAAGAGAAGCCAGAATGAGAGCGAAAAAGAAGCCAAAAGGCGAGAAAGTGGCATGTACCTTGCGCAATTTTCTCCTTTTCTCGTGTTTAAACGCTTATTCTTCATCTTGTTTCCTCTCAAGTCCATTTCCTTTTTTCCTCGATCATATTCCTTTTGATCGCCCATGTGGCTCGTCTCACTGTTTCCATGCATCGCTTGCGACATGTTTTCGTCACAAATTTCGTCACTGAGCTGTATTTTCCTCTCTCATAATGCGCCTTCCCTTTTCAGTTTTCTCCGCGACGATTTGATTACATGGAGCCGGCTGTCGATTGAATCGCGCAGTCGTCCGCAGCAGCATCAACCTTACAGTATCCGCTGGTTACGGTATTACGTGGTGAAATGTCGTCGGTAAAAGTCGCCGTACGCGTTCGGCCCTTCAATCAAAGGGAGATCGCCAACGGATCGCGATGTATAATTGGAATGAATGGCACCACCACCAGTGAGTACCTCGTTTTCTGAACGTTTTTCATTTGAATTTCATTTTATGGTCTTCTCAATGCAAGGAATTATTCCAAGCTATTCATTCGATATTTTGAACTATTTGGGCGACGTTTTCCCCAGTCCGGCAAGAGTGTGGAAAGGGAGGGAATAGCTGAAGAAAAATAGTAAGGTAGTCGTACCCGGTAAATTTTTATGTATTACCTTACAATGCTAAGCGTCAGCCACCTGAGTATGATCCAAGGATGGGATCCGATGAACCCATTTGGCTGCTAGGAGGATGCCTCGCGAAGTATCCTGTCAAAAAGAACTCATTTGAATACTAAGAGGACGGTATGCGAAGTGTCCTATCGATTTGTTCCAGGGTAGCACTGAGTTAAAGAGAAAGGCTTCTCCCTCCCGGGACATGAAGATTCTTCTGATGGTATTTCTATGGATTACTACCATTATGGTGCCGTCAATAGTCCCTTGTCACAGTGTACATGACAAAGATTTTAGGAACGGTCTATTACTGAATGAAATAAAAACTGGGGATTGGAAAGTGGGCTTCGTTATTGGTAGTTGAAGTTGTCAAGGAGAATGTACTAATGACGTGCTCACTATAGTGCATATTCTGGTAATTTTGTCGTTATTCTCTTTTTAAACTGACAAGAGGAGAGCATGAGGTTAAGCCTAATAAGATCTTTGGGCGTTAATCAGTCCCGTCTGTGAGATGCGCCCACGCACTCGATTTCCATTCAGAATCTTAGTGGCGTATTGAATGCGTATGTGTCCTGTTCAGTGACAGTGCTTTAATGGTCTGGTACCAATTAACCGACCCGGGAGGGATGGAATGCTTGGTTATCCTAGCCGGATATCGACCCGGGATTACATATCGATATCGAGGGAACATTAGGCTAAAAGGCCTAAGAAAGGCATACTAAAACCGTCACATCAGTAGCTCCTTCCCTCGCTGAATTCCTCCCTGGAACACGAACTTCTCTTTCATGTTCTCACAACACAGTCCAACTCTAGTCATATAGACATCATTGGGCGGTGGCAAAAAGTTGTCTAACGGTCATTGTCGCTATGCAATACTTCATGAGGCTTGAACCATCTACATAAAAGTTGTTCTCGACTTCGAGGGTTTCCTTGCTCTTCATTTGCCTAGTGAAAGGCTTAGTCTTAACTCAATTGGCAGCACAGCCAAGTGGTGTTCACCGGAGCGTGAACTTGCTGCAGCCAAGGAGTACATAGGAAGCGTTGCCTGGGGAAAATTAAGGGGCTTTTGTTCCATTGCATATTCTAGAGGCGTCTATGGCTCAAGGACGTCCTTACTACCTCTTCGGGGAATGGCCAACTAACAGCGCTTACGTTTTTTTCGAGCTCTTCTAAAGTGATATGTACCATTTTTGAATAATTACCAGATTATTAGATTTTTTGCTTGTTCATTTCCTTGACTCCGTCTACAGGTTTCCTCCTTCCTGTCTCTTTCTCATTTTATGGATACCGACCCTTTAACACACAACTTTTATTTTTAAAAACTCTGTTCTGTTGAACCTTTTTGTTTTTTTTTNTTTTTTTTTCAGTAAATACTTCTGAAAACTTCACAGCTGATTGATCTGTTTGATATTTTGTCCGTGGATGCTGGCCGTAGCTCTTGTTCCTGTTCTTTCTCTGATCCAGCTTACTCCTTTTGCTCGTTAGGCGCAGGATTATCCATTGTCCGGTATTTTTGTGAATAATTTAAGTGCTTCATCTGAGACGCCCTACCATTCCAGTTGGAAAATCTATTACTCTCTATGGAACCCCTTTGACATGTGGGCATTACATGTCGAACTTTGATTTCAAAACGGAGCTGTGGCCAAGGCACAGAAATGAATTCATCATGTGGTCGGTGGAAGTTGGCACTCGGGAATCGAAACCATCGACCTCGTCTAAAGAGATTTCTTGGTTTGGCTGCTTCGTGGCAGGTAGCCGGCTCCTTGCGGTACGTCATTTTGAGGGGCTTCCTTCTACCCCAGTTGGCAGTTGATTCGGGTTGTCACCGAACAGATCCTCTACAACGGAATGCTTCCATTTTCCATCAAAAATTGAATTCTTGCGCTTTATTTTGTCCATATGTCCGCATTCTATTGGCTTCTGTTACACAAACGAAGGCTGTTATGGCAAGAGGCACAGCACTGGTT